ATTTATTTAATATCACCATATTAAATGATATGATGAGGCTCAATGGTTAGAGTGCTTCTCAACATTGTTTACCTTGTTTATCCCGTTTTTTAAAGCATTAATGCGAATTTTTAAAAGAATAATAAGTCATAAAATCAAAATTTTGTGAAAATTAGACAGGTGTTTCGAATTTCTTTACACTCTACGTTTCTCCAATCCAAATTTTATTTCAAATTCGTTTGCAATATGTATTTTCGCTCAGAAAAAAGAACTTTCGCTTGCACATCAGAATCCAAGGTTAAGTTTCCGCACGCCTCAAGGACTTCCAATTCGCTACTTTGGCTCAATTCAAGCAGAAAATCCCAAATAAGGCCAAAGAAACATGAACGCTTACCTCGCATACTTCCGCTACACTAACTTTGATGTCTGGTGTGGTTGCGACCTTCATCGGATTGAGAATATTTGACGATGGACAGATAGTATGTTAGGGGTATTAGATCATTCACACACACAGTGATTATAGATGTCAATGGAAGGCAGTCTGAAATTTGCAAAAACATGGATTTTCTCGTCGTGGAAAGCCGATTACGACGCTTTATACGCAATGCGAAGCATTCAATTATAAAAATGAAACTACTATGATGGAGAGGAAGGTGGAAGAGTAGAATGCTATAATGTTATGAAGATGGGTGCATCAATAGGAAGTCTCTTATCAGCGTGTGAACTAACGATGGTGACTTATCACTTAGGTTATCAAAGAATTCGCCACCCACACTAAGGTGACAAAGATTGTGGCTGAAGGGGGTTAAGGAAAATTACGAGAGGTTATAGATCAGATCAGAAGGTCGGGGGTCCTAAAAGGCAGGTTCTGACTTTGAACAATACTTCAAAAACAGAATTATGCCAAACAAGAACCTTTTTTTAAAATTCCTGTAAAAATAAATTTTACTTATTATGCAGTGCTCTTATAGAATTGTTTGCAAGTGGCGCAGCATAAATATAAAATAATCAATAAAATGAAAATTGCTGAGCTAAGCGTGATACCAATCATGAAATATATGAATTCCCTAAAAATCAAAATTATACAATGAATAAACGCAAGATCCCTGCATAAACTACGAATTCCAAAGTGTTTTGCTGGTAGTATT